AAAGAAAGAAGGAAAGAAAGAGAAAGAAAGGAAGGAAGAAAGAAAGAAAAGAATCCAGGGGTCTCCAACCTTGGCAACTTTAAGCCTGGCGAGGTTGGAGACCCCTGCTCTAATCGACCTATCTAATAATCCCTCTAGCCGTCCGTCTAGTCGACATGCGCCATCATCTGTACGACGGTCCTACGAGGTAGGCCAAGATGGCTACAGGGAGGCAAGGAAAGAGCCCATTTCTTTACGGCCAATTGGAGAACATCGAAATCCTGGTTTCGAATTCCGACGGACACGCAGGGAGAAACGGCGTCACCTGGAAAACCACTTTGGTTCATATCCGCTCCGCTATAAGGTGGAGAATTTGGCCACTGAGGCTGCCGACGTTGCTAATATCGCCAATAAGGGTGGGAAAAGTCTAGGGGAAAAAAAACGGGGAAAAAAAGGAGTGGATGAATAAAAAAAAAAATGGGCAGAAACTCTCTTTAAAGCTTATCATTTTGCCTGAAATTTCACTGTCCTTCCAAGAAACTTTTCAATGATTAATCTCCCTTCCATGGTCGACTCTTGATAAAAGGAAAATAACATTTTTGCCCGTTCTAGGAAAATGAGCTGACGTTTGTCTGCTTTTAAGCCTTATTTTTTTTTTAAAAAAAAAAGATTATTTAATTATTTTAACACTTTAAATATTTAGGGTTTTCTTTGAAATTGTAAAATAAATCATTTTAACGGTTGTCGCGAGGGGCCGGAGACACGACTTCGCAACTAACAACAACCACAATGCAGAAGGACTACAAAAAAAAAAAAAAACCCGGTCCATTTTTGGGTGTCCCTCCTAGAAGGATCTCAAAACTTAGGATCCTGAACGTGTCAAAAAACGGGATCCTACACTTAATCCTACACTTCCTTGCATTGTTTGGAGTCTCTCGAAATTGTGACACTTGCTTGAAGGCAAGTGACAAATTAACTCTGGAGTTAAAAAGTAGGTGATTGATTGACCGAGATATCCTGAACAAGCCAGCATTTTTTTTCTATCATCCACTGAAGACTTCCTTTTCTAAAATACCCCAATGCCCATCCTGTTATCCTCACAATCTGACAACACAACAAAGTTAATCGAAGGGCCGGGCAAGAGACGGAAGGGAGGGACGGAGAGATGAATCCCAATGTTTGTTCTCAAATTCCAAAGTTCTGGAAAACAGAGCATCACGGGAAGTGGGGATGGGAGGCAGGTTGTTGGCTTGTGGCTCACAGGTGATAAATCCAGTGGCCATTCAACCTGTTTTTTCCAGGCCTTCCCTGAATTTCAAGACCTGGAAAGAATCATTAATGGATGAATCATTAGGGAACACCGTGGTCTCTTCTTGTGGGTTTTAGAATAAAAAATAAATCTCTCTTTTTTTTTTTTTTTTGCTAATGGCATCAAATAAAGGTCTTGCGGGGATCAGATAGATAAGTGGGAAGGCTTTCATATTTTCCAAAATTTGGGGGATTTGACAGGTGGTCCACAATTTACAGTCGATCCACTGCAGCTTATTTACGTGCGAACCTATGACTTAATTTTTGTTTTAACACAACAAAAGGGGTCGCTTCCGATCCTATTATTCTGTCTTCTTGGAATGAACTGCCCCCGGAGATACGGAATATCCCTGATCTCCGTGCTTTCCGCCGTGCCCTCAAGACCCTGATGTTCCAACAGGCAGGGCTAAACATACAAACATGCGAATGATTTTTTAAATGTTATCTAATTCTGGGTTTTATTTAATTGACCAAACTAAGTAACAATTTTAATTAGCAATTTTATGATGTTTGTGTGTCTATATTTTTCTTGACTGTACACCGCCTTGAGTCCTACGGGAGAAAGGCGGTATAGAAATATAATAAATAAATAAAATAAATAAATTCTTGTGTCTCCTCCCCCCCCCCCCAAGCAGGAAACCCTACACCATTTTTTACATTTACATTTTTACATTCACATTTGGGGGCCGGCTGGACCAGGAGGTGCCCATCGGATGTTTCTCTGCCCATCATCGATTAAAAAAAAAAAAAAATACCAAAAAACAATTTTGACTGTTTGTTTTTGTCTTTCATAAATCGGTCACCTTGACGCGTTGGAGGTTAATGTCCAGCAGATAAGAGAAAATTCAGACGTCGTCCTTTCCTTGCTCCCAAATTGCGTGAGACGGCCCAAACAGCTGGCTTCCCCTTCTCCTTCCTGTGCCAAGCAAAAAACCCCCGATTAGTCCTTGACTTATGACCATTCGTTCAGTGACCGCTTGAAACGACGAGGGCACTGGACAAAGGGACTTCTTAACGCCCGTTGGTTCGCGCTTACGACCGCCGCCGCATCCTTACGACCGCTGGGATCAAAATTCAGACGCTTGGCGACGGACTCATATTTAGGACGAGGTTCATGAGATTCCCTCTTGCGACCTTCTTGCTGAGCCAAGTTAAAAAAGAAACAGTTTTTTTTTTTAGATTTGCCTCATTTGTACGACCATTCTTGCCACCGTTGTTTAAGGGGATCGCCGCAGCGGTTAAATTAGTAACACGGTTGTTAAGTGAATCGGGCTTTGTTGATGGGACAGTCTAGATGCCCTTTAGGAGACACGTATTCAGCAAAGGCTGAAAACAGGAGAATTGGGATTTCAATTTGTGCTTTGCCCCCTTGTAAACCTTCGTTTTCTGGTTTGAACAGAACGTTATCATTAAAGTGTGTGTGCATACGGGGAAAGACGATCACTGTTTACAGACACACACAGACAAATCTGCTTACACAAGAGTTACACAAGCAGCAATTGCCCCGTTCCCAAGAGAATTGATGGGGAGGGGGGTTGGCTGGGTTAGGCAGGGAAGGGATGGGGGCACAAGGGCCAATCGTTTCTAGGAAAGATTAGCGAGAGGGGCTGTACTTTTAGGAGAGGGTATAAAAATTCTTCGACTCTTGATTAAAAGACATTTCTTCTCCCGATATTCTCTTTGAAATCCCTTGCACAGGTAAGGATCAAAGGCTTCTCTTTAGAAAATGAAAAGAAACAAGTAATTTGGTCTCTTAAAATATTAATCTATGGATCTATGATCTATTTGTCTGTCTATCTATCATCTGTTTATCTATCTGTCTGTCTGTCTGTCTATCTATCTGTCTATTTCTTTCCTTCTTTCTATTTATTATCTATCATTTATCTATATCTATTTTTAATCTGTCTATTTTTTATTTATTATCTATTTCTTTTTCCTTCTTTCTATTTATTATCTATCATTTATCTATTATCCATATATATTTTTAATCTATTTTTTATTTATTATCTATCTATCTATTTCTTTCTTTTCTTCTTTCTATTTATTATCTATCATTTATCTATTTATATCTATTTTTAATCTGTCTATTTTTTATTATCTATTTTTTTCCTTCTTTCTGTTTATTATCTATCATTTATCTATTATCCATATCTATTTTGAATTTGTCTATTTATTATCTATCTATCTATCTATCTATCTATCTATCTATCTATCTATCTATCTATCTATCTTTCTTTCCTTCTTTCTATTTATTATCTATCATTTATCTATTATCCATATCTATTTTTAATCTATTTTTTATTTATTTATTATCTATCTATCTATCTATCTATCTATCTATCTATCTATCTATCTATCTATCTATCTAACTATTTTGTTTCCACAAAAAGAAGACCCTGTCTTATATTTCTTTGAACCCTGAAATAAGCGTTTGGCCTTATTTTCGGGGAGATCTTATTATTTTGGGGCACATGGAGCA